GACAAACCGTCATATGGGCATGAGTGAGTGAGTGAGTGAGTGAGTGAGTGACACTGGATATTCAGTACAACCTGTAACTTGCCGAACATTATATTAACATGAACATACAAGCCAGCCATTCACTGCCAAGTAAGCTAGCTACACACTCGGAGCTCCATGCTGCACCCCTAGATCCCCAAATAACTACTGAACCAACCTCCAAACACCGTTCTGTACACACGCAGTAGTGGGGGAATATATTCACAGACATTCTAAAATAAAAATAATCGCATTATAGCGTTCATAATAGAGAAAATAGAAAACGTAAAAAGAAGCAGAGCAAAGCATCGAGATATCAATAGTAAAGTACCCACAAACTCCAAATACACATATGCAAAGAGCATATCTTCATTGACAATTCTGATTAAGTATTTCAATGCAAAAGACTGTATTTTAGTTTTCGGTCATTATTAAAATGAGAATTTGGGTTATTGTTGAGCTCAGCATACCTAATTTTCGTTTTCTTTCTCAGTTGAAATATTGTAAATGATTTAAATGTTTTCTTGTATTTACTGTTTTGAGCCGATGGCCATGTATCAGTTAATAAAGATCCTATCAAATTTATTTTGTATTTTTATTTCAGGGGGTTGTGCACTGATTAATAGTTCAGTAGTGAGTGACTTGTTTGTTTGTTCATGGTTGATGGTTTAATGATTTCACCTCATAATTTCAAATAGTTGACCTCTAACCTTTGCTGCGTAGCTAAGGACGGAAAAGCTCTTAACGACTGATATATTTAAGTGTGCTGAAGAGTAGAATATAAATAGAACGAGGAAGAACGGAAGAAGAACACGATCACTCAATGAGGTGTAAAATGCTTATGCATAAAGGTTTATGTGTGACCCCTAAAGGTCAAACATCCTGGTATTTCAACTTCAATGACAAGTGTTTGTACTTCTTTATTTTCAAATCATTAGGCAAAAATGCCGTTTGTAGTGAATTTGATTGTACAAGGATGTGTGACATTTTCGGAGAACACGAACGGGGCATGTTGAAAGCTACAGTAGCTGTGAATGCAAGTCAAAGAGAGAGATGTTGAGTGTTTTTCGTAGTCCACCTTCACTTTCTACGCTACATACACAATGCTGGATGTTTCTCGCAGTCATGGCGGGGGAGGGGGTCGCCGCGGCGTAAACGTTAGGGAGCTCATCAGAACGGTGGATACCAGAGTATCCAAAGAATAAATTACGCGAGTTAAAATCACCCCCACTCCCATTCTCGCGCGGAAATAGACTGATGGTTCTATAACTAGTACGTCGTCTACTGATTCGCTGAATTGTAGGCCATCTACATGAGAGACCGTAGTTTTCTCACTCGTTGTTATACATGTTTTGCCCACACGAGTCTCAAAGAAGGGTTTCTCCATTGGCATCTTCGCCAACCATGGTTTATGTATTCGACCTCACCATTGGATGGTCGGTTTCAGCGAAATCGTGCGAATTGAACAATGTTCTATTTGGTAATAATCAGTCTACTTACACAACCTTCCTGCATAAGTATCCCTCGGCGTATAAAGTAGCAGGGCTGGATGTAGCCCTGCGTATTAATATCGCTATATGATTACATTTCAGTGGACTAAACTAACTAACTAAAACCTAATTTCAGTCATCCAAAAACAATAAAAAACAATTTTAAATTATAGAATATATTGGAAATTAATAAATCACTATGCACAATGACAATGGCTATGGCAATGTGAACACCGTGACGTGACATCCCACTGAATCCAATGGAACTTATCTCGAGAATAATCTCATACTGAGTTTTTTTAGCCCCAGTGCGAATGAAAATGATGGGCGGATTTGGTAATATCGCCAGGTGCGCTTGACTATTATTATATCGCCTCTAGCTTCCCGGTTCCACAAATGTGTACTGAATCGATTCCTGTTCGAACTGGTTAAAAGGTGAATCACAACTAAAATTAAAATTACTTAAATTAATTATCTCAGATCCAAAGAAGCCGCTCCTGAAATTGAACCTTTGTGTAAACATTAACAAATTCTTACTGCTTAATTCAGCGTTTATCAGAAATTATACACGCACATACTCGTCTGAAATTATGTACTGCCAAATTATACAGTTTATAACAAAATAGGTCCGGATGTTAACTGAATCCACTGATCATCGCCGCGCTTTATCCAGTGACTCTATAAAAGCACGGCACATTCTAAGTAAAAGCAACACTGAGATCAGTAAACGACTGTCTATCTATATATCTATCTATCTGGTATCCTGAATTTGCAAGTGCCTAGGCAACGACCAAGGTAGGAAAAACATCGTCTTTCGCACTTACATGGCGACTTTCGCACTTACATTTCCCTGGGGTAACAGTGACTGGGTTTATTGGGTTTATTGACGACATGTATACCATGGAAGGTAGAAAAACTACCTCCCATGTGTAAACTAATCGGGGCATTCTGGCAACTGTGCTCACTTCGTCGCAGATACTACCTGAATAAACTTTGTTGAAACTTTTTGCAAAAGTATTGTAAAAACAAAAGAAAAAAAACGTCGCCACCGTACAATTTTCCATCTCATGACGTGAAATCGTTGTTTATCCTGAATGTGCGACTGCATGAGATAGAATCCGTATGAACCGTACTTTTATCGATATAATTAAGCAATCAGCCCGCCTCCACACGTATTGCACAATTCACAGCTCACATGCACGAGCAAGCATTATTTTCGGAAGTTGGAAAAAATCAAACTCACACAAAATATGAAAACAAACACGCCGTCGTATATAGGCATTGCGAAGTTAATTCACGTCATGCTTGCTAGTGGATAGTCCATATACCCCATGTACATCATACCAGCTGTTTTTTTTCGGCATATGAAACAGACATCAAGCTACTTTTTCGAAGGGTACTTATTTAATATTATTATTAATTTTCATATTTTGAGGCATAATTTAAAACAATCATGGCGGGCATACATTAAAACTGAGTCTCGCCGAATCGCAGTAATAGTTTTGTGACACCTACGCACTAGTTTAACATAGTTTAACATAATTAACATAACATAAAACATTACTATTGTATGTGAAATTGGTTTCATCAGGTTCAGATATGAAGGTCATTCTACTGCTTGCCATCATTTTCAGTACCAGTTATGGTAAGTACAAATGATATATATATATATATATATAAGTGTTCATATGTTATTACAGTATTGTAGGCCGTTGCCCTTATATACATAAAAAAGTTGACAAAAACAAAAAAATGATCATGCCATCCTAGTCAACATTGGAAATAACCTGATATCCTCTCTTAATTTGAAACCACAGAAGATATACTTAGATAAAAACAAAAGAACAAAAAGGTTGTGATAATTGAAAAGTGAAACACGTTTTATAACTGACGGGTATTTGTAATACGAAGGTTATCTGTTTGTAGACAAAAAATGCAACCGTGTTTATGGTGTGTCGTCTTATGTCATTGAGAATATTATGTCGTGTACTTTTTTCCAGCAAACGAACTCAAGGTTTGTAGCTTTAGCGAGGGGTGCAAACTCTACACCATGTTCACCAATGCGTTCGTAAACTACGACGATGCAAAAGATCTGTGTCAAAATAATGCAATTATACCAGGCAACGACTTATTGACCATCCGCTCACAAGAGGAATTCCAGTTGATTCGTAGAAAAATGATCGCTAATGAAATGCACGTGAAAGACTCATCTGCACCTGCAAACGGTTACTGGATCGGTCTTGATGACATTGGACATCAACAAGATTTTAGATGGGACGATGGGACATCACCAACTTTTACTCCATGGGCTGAAAACAACCCAAACAATCTATTTGGAGACCAAAACTGCGTGCAATTATGGTAAGAATGAAAATAACTCCTTTTAGACCATTTTCCGAACAACGCCGGCGAGATCTCGCGTTATGCGTAAAATTTAACGTAAATAAAGTGTAAATACACAATAGTCATAGCGTCGCAGTGGCTTTAAGATAATCAACGACAGTTTTAAAAAAAAAACCTCATTACGTTTTTGTTATGTTGCAGGAAAAAGGCAATGCTCAAGTGGGATGATGATTTCTGTTACAAACAAAAAGATGTTCTGTGTGAAAAAGGTACGTACCAGCAACATTTGCATAATTGGCCCGATGTTTTAAGTAATCGGGAGATTTTATTATTAATATACTGCTCTTTATTACTGACTACCTATATATTTAAAATGTCGATGTTATTGTTTTTTGCGATAATTTCTATTATAATCAATATCATGTTGAAACAGGTGCTGTTTCACTTTTACCAAATACAGATGTGTGCATGACAAATTCTTTTCATTGCAGACATATGCCAAGGCGATGCATAGATTGACGTTACCATGGTTATAAGCGTTGTTTTTCTCACTTCATGCGTACAAGTACGTTAAATCAGTGGACAACTAAATACTTCATATAACTATATTCGACAAATTCTTTATCGATTCTGTAAAATGCTGGTACATTAAAGTGTTACGTAATCGAAAATGACGGCTACTGTTCATTGTGTTAACGCCAACATTTATTCCACTCTCGAATACGCTGTGTAGATAGGCATATTACGTTGGTGAAGACTAACCCTCGTTTTGACAAAATATGATATGCAAAACGTGTGATAGCACAGTCAAGCATTCAGTAAGACCAACATTGTGCAGTCCGCTAATTAATAGATCATTTTTCGTTCACTGCGAGATCCCGCGTTATGCGTGAAATCGAACGTGAAAACAGGACAAACAAAGGTCATAGCGTCGTAATTGCGTCAAAGTATCTCGTGAGATTCGACAAATACGAATGTATTTCGGGCGTAAAAGTATATCAGCGTCATATTACAATATGAAAGCTATGCATTTCGACTTGAAGTTATTTGGGTCGCAGACGTTCGGTCCGCGCCCTCCACGCAATATTCGAGCACCCGCACTGCACTGAACAGGAAATTACCTATTTTCAACCATCACGGTGAAAACAAAGGCGGAAAACTCTCAGAAAACAGTATTTTGGGATGGTTGTAGCGAATTCCCTGAACAGTGTAACAAGCTTAGCCCTACGTGTGTAACATATATGAAATTGGTTGTTCAGGATTACTTCAAAGTTGAGTTTTTCTTCACCGGCTCTTCGCTCGGCGTTCCACAGCAGCGCGCACAGAGTCCATAGAAATGCATGTGCGCGTCTTAGCAACGTGGAACGTCTTGTGGCGTAGCTCCGCCCCCGAGGATACACGAGTCACCATTCCAATAATTAAGCCACGCACTCTAGTAACCGAGACGAAGAGTTTTTATGGATGAGACGAAACCCGTTTAAATAGTCGACATCGTTTTGGCAACACAGCTATGTGATGTATTTATGAGGTGTGCTATTTATCTTAACTGTTATTTCGAATTTTTTTAAACAAGTGAAAGTTGTTAGCTTGTCGTGAGGATTCAGTGTGACGGTAAAAAACAACAACCCACTAAATGGACAATAACCAGCCGTTACGGCATAAGAGTTTGGTAACACCATGCCAAACCGATATGAGAAAAGAGACATAAAAAACAACACAGTTGACAACATATATAACTGTGACTAACATACTAACATACAATGATTACACATTCTAGCCGCCAGAGTTTATTTCCGCGTCGAGACTCAACGAAATGAATAATGCCGTAAAAGAGGTCGAGGCCGTGACGTACGACGATGTGATTACATGGAGTAAATACAACTACGTGAGAATACAATTTTGAAGCCAATGGAAGAGTCACTCGGGTGTTTTGAAAAAAAGGCACACCCTGGTCATATTAGTGTTCTGAACACAGCTTTGTGTTTGGGGAACTTGACTCGCTTAGTTGATGACACTTACACGTAGAGATACCAGATTCGACCGAAATGAACATACATTTAACAGTTCATTACAGATAGCTCAGCCTTTTCAAAGGTCAGCTGAGGTCACACCTTGCTGCTAACTACTCTCCTTCCCCTATTACAAAATCTTACACCCCCCCCCCCAAAAAAAAACTCTAATGCGTGGCAAAGTAAAACATGCGATCAGCCAATCGCCACAGCCATTGGCACTATCACGTGATTACCAGGTACGTGTCTCACGGTGAACCTCAGTAAATATATATAAACCTAGCAGTCGTGTACAGTTGTTCGTCACCACGATAGACAAACACATCAGAATAAATCTCCGATGTGATGGCAACATTTTCGTTATTTCCACGTTTTACAAACACACCCGTAGATGCGCGACGTAGTGTCGGCGTGTCGGAATTATTTGTTCTGTTTTACTATAAATAAGCGAAATGTTTCTCAAAATTTGTGACATGATTGTGAAATGGTGCTGTTACTAATTTATGTGAAAAACTACTTCCAGACTGGGCCTCTAACATCACTTTGAAAATAACAGGAAGTGTTCGTTATTCTCGCTAAACATGCAGGCGAGTCTTCCTTTACAATCAATGAAGTTATAGA